AAACGGTGCAGAAGATCCCGTTAACAACAACGGCAGCTTTGGACCTGTTGGAGGATTTTACCAATGGAGCAGTGCCAAGAGAACAGGTTTCCAGAGACGTCAGGACGACGACTGGATCATCAGCCGCTTTAGGTTCTTGAGGGCAGTCCTCGTGGAACTGTGCTGCGGCCATTATTGGAGCGCAACACGTCCAGGAGCCATGTCCTACCTGTGCCCATACAGGTGCTGACCCACTGGGCTTCCTGGCCACAGGGTCATCTCAGAGGGAGCTGGCCGACCGACCGGGACAGTGCCAGTCGACACTGAGCCGAGCTGTGTGGGATGGAACCATCCGAATGTCATCCAGGTACATCAAGCTCCCACACTACAGTTGAACAGGACGACATAAAAGTGCAATTTGCAGCGAGAGCCATTTTCTGCTAATGTAATCGGAGCTATCGACTGTGTTTGTTTATGTAAACAGGAAGCATTTTCATTCAGTCAGTGTCCAGATCATCTGTGATGCGCAAATACATTTAAGTACCGTTGTTGTGAGGCGGCCTGGATCAACCCAGGATTCATTCATTCTGACCAACAGGCTACACGCTGCACAGTGCGGGATGGGGGCTTCTTGGTGAGTAAATCATTGAATTGTCCTGATATCAACCCCTCTGACAGGCGTCAAGCATGTGCGGCATCAGCAGCTGGTTGTTGCAGTGGACCAGAGGATCGGTTGACCCCGGGGAGGCTGGAGGAATCCCGCGAGTCTGTGATACGAGGCTGAGATGCGTCTCACAGTCTTCTCCTGCCTCATTGTCTGTTGGATAATAATAAACTGAGTAATTAAACATGAGACAAAGTTTTGATTTCCTCTTTGATATCCTGACATGATTACGTAAGAACCTGTATCTTGTTTGGCTGTGAGCAGATTATTGTATGACCCGTATAGTGAATAAATCTGTGAGTTATACAACATATATTTACCTTGGGGTGATCTGAGTGACCCACATGTGCTCCCACCACCCCTGTGACAGCAACGTCACCCACAATAGCGGCGACTCTCTGCTCAAACGGGCTGAGTTCATCCTGGTTACTGTTATCTGATCCTGCAGAGAGGGGAATCCCACCTGTCGGCCCTGTTTATACTAATTTGCATATTTAAATTTGAGGCGTGGAGAGGGAGGAGTCTGGTTCTCCAACATGTGGCCAATTCCACGCTGAGTGAGACGTACAAAGGAAATGTGCTGGATTCAGGCGTACGCTCACTTTCCTTCATCTGGATTGTTTTGTGCGTACGCAGTTTTCAGGATTGAAGCGTACGACAGGTTTCAGTATGAAATCCACACAAGTCTTTGTACATGAGGTCTCTGGTGTCTTCTTGGTTTTGTTGCCTTGGGACAGAACCATGCTAGCTTGTTCTAGGGGTCTCTACAACCAAACAGTTAAATGTTCACACAGATACTGTTGCTTTTATTTGGTAGATTTTGGAATATCTACGACTTTGCCTCTACTCCAACGTATCAGAATGATGTTTCTGGATCACATGACATTCAGTGGAGGGCCCACCTAGAACTACTTTGATCTAAATGGATGCAGCATTGTTGTGCTTCATCGAGCTGCATTGGAAAACTTTGTAAACAGTTTCAATAACACACGTTTTATTGGCTCACTGTAACTCACAGTTTTGATTACGAGGACGCTCTGGCCTGGTTATGGGGACAAGGAGGCTCCATGTATTGCAAGTGTTTCTGTCCAAGACAGATACCCAGTCACTTTGTTAGTCCCTCTGTAGCAATATTAGAGGAAAATCACAGCACTTCATCCTTTATTTGGCCACTAATAGTCACTTTAACCAACCGTGGACACTAACAGGTACTCCATCAGCCTGTACAGCCACATTAGAGAGACGTCACTGAGACTCTTCATGAAGCTGCAGCTGCACCACTCAGTAATAACTCCCATGTGTTGATCTCTAATGTGAGCAGCAGCATACTGGAACTGGCAGAGACTGTCTAATTATGTCAGCTAAATATAGATGATTACCACATCATAACCTGACACATTCTTATTTAATGATCATGAGAAGACAGTTTGGATAATACTGAGGTTACACACAATAGCTATTTTATGATCAAAGCAAGTCAAATAATGGTAATGGCACTATAGTATTACAGTTTCATAGGAATATAATTGAAAATTATGGCATCTTTGAACACCTTCGTCAATGAAATTAAAGGCCGGTGATGTGGTCTTTAAATCTACGACTATAAATGTATGGAGATACTATGTCCACGAAAGTTGGTCTGATTTCTCTTTAGTTTGTATCGTCAGCTCCTGTCCTCTCTGGTATAACACCTCACACTTTCATTGTCTGCTCCTTACTTGCTGGTCTTTTTGTGCAGCATATTTTAATGAGCTTTTTTTCCCCCTACCGTACTCTGGCACCCAAATTTCTTATGCAAAAAAAAGAATATATTATTTTGTGATTCTACTGAAAATGCTTTCCCACAATGTTTTAATAACAATAATACTTCTATCCATAGAGCAGCGTTCACAAGGTGTTCTGACAGTCAAAACATGCAAACAGAAAGACGATCAAGCAAGACATAAGGCATGAGGAGACGGGGCCGAGCAGTCAGATAACATAAATAACCATAGCAATACGTTAAATGAATAATTAGCTCGATTAGGACGCATATCAAACACAGGAACGCAGCAGTTTAATAACTGAAGAATAACACTGAAGATCAAAAGTTTACGAATCAAAAATCTGAAATAAAGAATTAAAGACGACATCACACCAAAGGAGAAGGCAGCTAAAATTAACATGAAGCAAGAAAGAACATATAAAAAATAAACAGGCAAGTAGTCTATAATTACAAAACGGAACAAGAAAACTAATTAAAGCTAAAAGTAAACTTCATGTAATAGCAAGTCTATAAAAGTCGGTTTTAAGAAGTGATTTAAAAGAAGTTACTGACTCCACAAGTCTCATCTCCTCAGGCAGGGCGTATCAAAGCCGAGGGGCCTTGGTGGCGGTCACCTTCAGATTTAAGCCTCCACTTTGGAAGGGATCCATCTTTAGTATCTAAGGCCGCCAGCAGGCTGGTCAGGGGTCAACAGATCACAGATGTAGCTTGGGGTGAGACCCTGGCGTGCTATAAAAGTGATCAGTAACATCTTAAGATCAGTTTTAAAATGGACAGGGAGCCAGTGGAGGGAAGACACGCGTGATGTGAAACTGGTAAAAAGCCCAGCTGACGAGTTCTGGACAAGTTGGAGGCGAGAGAGGGACTCTTCAGAAGTCGGGAGTCACAACAACCACGACGGGACAAGATGAGTGCATGTTTAAGTTACTCCAGGTCTGGCTGTGACAGCATCGGCTTCATCTTAGAGATTGATATGATTTGGAGGAAGCAAGACCAGATAACTTTTTCGATATGGGGAGCGAAACTGAAGTCTGAGTCCAATAAAACACCTGGATTTCTGGCAACGAGCTCTACGTTGGTGGATAATGGGCCGAGGTTGTTGGTGGTGAGACTGCTGTGTAGGTTTGGAGGGTTAAAAAGTAAGACCTCAGATTTAGATGTGTTTACTCGAAGAAGGTTTTGAACCATTTAACGGTTAATGTCACTGAGAAAGTTGTATAATAGCCTGAAGTATTTTGTATGTTCATGCAAAGGATATCGATTCTGTTCAAGCAGGACAGATAAAAACAGGAGCCTTTCTTCAACTAATCCATCGTTATAAAGTTCAAATGCATTTCCCAACTAGCAGCAGAGAATAAAAGGTTCAGTTAACATGCAAAGTGGTGTGAAAATGAATGCAAAATGAAAGGTTCATTAACACACAGTGGCTCGTCTCACAAGGCCCTGTGAGGGAGCACAGTTACTAATGAAATCATAAATAATGTTTTAAACCCATGGTTTTATTGCTTTAAGCATGTTTTAATCTACACATTGTGATGCAAATTAGATCCATTGGCACTGTAGGCAACAATAATTCAATACATGGCTGAGCCTGAAAACATCCTTTTGCTGGATGTCTTCAAAGCTGCATGTACAGCAGCAGATTATGATGGTGTATAGTTGAGACTATCCTCCCATAAAAACAACCTGGTTGGTTGCTGGTGCACACATAGCAGCTATGATGGGAACAAAGGTGATGTTATTGAGCTACCTGATGGGTTTAGGTGGAAGGTGACAGCTGGTCGTGCTGTATGTGAAGTCCATCATGTACACGGTGATGGTCCCTCGTGGAGCCCGTGTGCTGAGACCCCCTCATCAGACACACAGCAGACAGCTTCACACTCTGTGGTCTGTTGGTGAGGCAGTCGAAGGTCCACACAGCCAGGTGCTGCTCCCTCCAACGCTGATGGGTCAGGTTATTGTGTTCAATGCACTGGAAATGTCAAAACGTGACCCTCACAGTGCTCCATGTGGTCTCCAAGTGTGAGGGGGGGTCTGTGCAGCAGGTAGAAGACTGCATCATCCACCCCAATACCAGGCCAATATGCAAACTACAGAGGGTCCATGTCAGCTCACCAGGGGCTGGATGGGGATCAGTTCAATCTTCTCCAAGGTCTTCATGTTGTGGGACGTTAAGGTGGCCAGGCTCCCTGGACTGTACAGTCTCTGGCTGTGCTACTCTCCTATTCAGATTGTAGGCACAAATTGCTTTGCGTTTGGGTTGGAGGACTTGTTGGTATACAGCTCTGCCCACAGAGGAGATGTACTGCAAATAGAGATTTGCATTTGCACTTGTAGCAGGATGAGTCGGTTGTCCTCTCTCCCGCCCTGCTCCTCATTTGATTGGTGGGCGGTGCTGCGGAAGGAGGCGCGTATTTATGCGCCGGCTTGACGCACCTGTTTCAGATTCCCCTCAGCGTTGTTACGGTGGTGTGGTTCGCATGCAGCTACCTCACGGTCTTGCACCAGCTTGGTAGCAAATCGTGGGATGCTCTGCTGTGAAGACGGTAAGTGACAATTCCTCTCTCCACTAACAACCGGTGCATACAACTACTTGATATGCAGTGTGTCTGCAGCGTGTCGCAGTGTTGGTGCTGGTGCTACTGCTCGCCTGCTGCCTCGGACCGGCTTGTGGTGGTCGCCGAATCCCGAGGTAGGCCCGCTCCTTTGTGCTGCTGCTGCGCTCTTGTAAACTCAGGTTGAAGGAAAACTTACCACTTTAATTCCTGGCTTTTTGTACAGCTTTAGAGCCGACTGCATCACGGCTCTCACGTTTCCCTCAGTCCGACCCGCTGCCAGAAGCCACGGTGTGCTGCCCGGAACCACGGTGGGCAGCTGGTTTGGAGCTGGCTGCCACTCCTTTCGGAGCTGCTGTTTTTGTACCGTTGTTTCTACCGCTGTTTGCCGGTGTCGGACACGCTATTCAGCGTTGCCGAACCCTATTGCGCGGTGGCACTGTTTAAGCGCTGTTTGTAAAGCGCTGTGTTTTTAAGTGGGTTGTACAATTCCGTTTCAGTTTCTTTGTTAAGTTCTGTTTTGGTTTCGTTTGGTTTGTTGCCGTGCGCATTTTTGTTTGTCTCTGCTGCCTTAGGCCACCAAGCAGAGCGGGTGCCTAAGTGGCAGCAGGCCCCGTTTTATTTCTGCGCCATGCTTTCTTTTCATTTGTTTAGTTATAGTTCGATGTTTGTTTTCGTTAATTAAAATCTGTTCCTTAATTTGATATTTTGCTTTCTTTGCAGTTTTAGTATTTTTGGGTGTGATTTTATTAGAGTGGTTATTGCTGGTTTGATTTAATTTTGTATTTTTGTGTTGGACAGGAGCTGTGGGCCCCCCTGGAGCGTGGCAGCCAGATCCCTTGGTGGTGGTCCCCCCCTTTTCCGTTGCTGTGAAGTGCACTCTGGGTGTTTTGGTTTGGTGTGTCACAAGGTGTTTTGAGTTGAGCCCCATTTTCCTGCTGGCTGCCTGGTAAGCCCCAGCCCTAGTCCTCCTCCTATGCTTAGTTTCTTTGTTTTTTTGTTTATCAGCAATAACTGTCAATTCTTTTAATGAGCATTAGATATCTTGTTGTTTACTTATTAAAAATAAAACTGTAATATTGGGGAAACACGTCTCATGCTCGTGTGTGTCTCGAACCTGTGTCCAGTCGAACAAACTATTTCCTGGGGTGAAATTCCCCAGGTGGCGTTGTCTGCGTTGAAAAAAAGAGTAAAATTCCACCGCCCTGCCACACACTATTTTGAACTTTGTTTCTGCATTTTGATGTATTCATAAACCTTGCAGCATCAGTTATCTTTTTTCTTTTATTGTTTTTTTGAGGAGGATGCTACAAGCCTGCTGCCACAACCCCATTTGTATCTGCATCCAAACTGTGGTTCAGACGTACAACAGATTAAAGCGTGACCACTTTAACAGTAAAATTGTGAAAGCAGTATATCGAAGCCCAAACTTGCTTCACAAAATGAAGATCTTTTTTTAAAATCATGCCGAATTAAACGGGGTAGCAGCCCCCCTCACCTCTCACATCCATGATTAGTAATTAGACACTCTAAATTATAATTGGACTACTTTAGTGTTTTGGCTCACGATGTCCTTGTTCATGCCCAGAAATAGACAGAAGCCAGTGTGATTACAGTAACATGTTACCCCAGCAGTGATGGCCATGCACACCAAGCCAGCCTTCTGTTCTGTCAACTGCTTGAAGTCAAACAGTTGTTTCTGATCTTACGGTTTTCTCCTGTGATGTCTGATGTGGAGAAAACACCTTTAATTTTCCAAACAGTCACAAATCCTCCTTTTTTTTTCATTGTCCGTGAAACATCAACAGTCATCTGTTTGCTCCTACTTATAGCATTTGTTGCCAGGCAACACTTCACTTCTTCAGCACGATATTCAGACCACGTTCAATGAAGAGGGTTTATTTTTAAAGCACACTGAAATAATTTGCATTCACATTGGGTGAGTAGTTACAGTAAAGTATAATTGTGTTATACATCAGACAGTCAGCTGGTCTCAGCAGGTGTTACGGAGTAGTTACTCCATTCAGGTGGTGGACGGTGTGAGTCGGTGGACATCGCGATGGCTTGGAACTGAACGTGAAGCAGCAGCACCTCATAGCCTTAAACTCTGACTTGGTGGATTGCTTTCTCCAGTTTGAGAGTGAGTTGCTGTGCAAAGCAAAGGTGTTTAAGGGGTTTGGAAAGTTGTTCACAAGTGAAGGCAGTGAAAGAATGTGAGGTGAACAGGTGGACTGGTTGGACTGCTGATGTGGCAGCAGCCTCGAGGTGAAGAGGGAGCGAGGCCTCATCGTGCATCTCCTGATCCCCTAAGTCTCTCATATGGCTATGGGCTCTCACAAGTCACCAAGAAATGAGACTGTAAGCAGAGTGTGAGCGGCTGAAAGATGTTGACGTTGCTCAGAGTAGAACCACTGAAAAACTGGTTCATGCAATGAATGCAACTTCTAGGCTTGACTATTGTAATTCCCTGTTATCAGGATGTCCCATGTTCTCCATCTGCTGTCCTGCTATCCCCCACCCCCTCATCCCCGCTCTTACCCCAACCGGTCGAGGCTATAATGGCCACCTTCCCTGAGCCTAGTTCTGTCTGAGATATTTTTTTTTCTCATGAAAGTTTTTTTTTGTTTGTTTGGTTCCTTCCCTCCGTCACGGACACTTTGTCATTTTAAAAGTAACTTTGGATTGTTGCATTCTCTGTTCTTTGTTTAAAATTGGTAAGGTCTTCATCTTAATATGTGAAGTGCTAGGAGTTGACATATTGAAGTCAAAGCTGCTGCTGCTTCACTTTGAATGGAAGCAGTTGAGGTACGTCGGACATCTGACAAGGAAACACCCTTGAGTTTTTTTTAAGGCAAACTGATGTGTATGATATCTCTGTGTGTAATGCTACTGACAACAATGTGAGTTTCTCCACTGTGATAAATAAAATAAATAAAAGCTGATATCATCTCATCTCATCTCATCATCTGGAGGAACAGCATCAGAAAATAGTAAAACAACAACGTACAGGTAGATTCGTAGATGATGTAATCTTGCAGAATGACTTGAATCTGAACTAAGTGGTTTCAATGCAAAGCTAAATCAGGCTTTAAGGTAATCACACATTTGTGTCCCTTTGCGACCATTTAAATTAGTTCTTTTTTCAAATCCAATACACTTGGAAATGAATGACTCAGTGCTTATTCCTTGGATCTGTGTGAGTGTGTGTTTTAGCATAGTGATGCTATATTCTATTAAGTCACATGGTGAGCACTAATATCGAGGAGGCCATGCATTGATAATCTCCAGCACAAACAGGCAGCCTGTGTTGAATGCTGAATGGCATAATCAGAGTGAGATGACTTTGATTTCACGGCCCATTGAGTGCCGAATGTGCACATGGCGCTGTTTGGACAGCCGCCACAGCTCAGCGGGCAATCAGGCCCGGCTCTGCTTCCTGCCACACGGTGAAGCAACAGGGTTCAGTTTGAGGGAGCACGTTTATATCCAGTCTGTGATCCAGTGCTTTCCATTCTGATTGACGATATGTACTGAATCATCCTACATCACCTGTGTGTGAGTGCTTGTTAATACGTGAGAACCTGTCGGTTGGCAAATATTTTCTGTGTGTATGCAACTGGCTGCAGGATGGGTTCTGTCTGCTTGTTCATCCATGATTTGTCCCATTAGTCGAGGCTTCACATGAACAAATATAGATTTTGGGTGCTCCCCTGTGGTGAAACCCACTGAGGGAGTCCAGGCTGTCTCTTATTCACATCTCTGGCTGCCTTCCAGTTTCTCTCCATCCTCACACAAAGCTCCAGAGTGTGAAACTCCTTAAAAGAAAAATGTGAAAGAACTCCAGTGTAATAGGAAATAGAATTTTAGCCGCCTATTATATGGCTTCGGACTGTTGAGGGTGAACTGTTGAAAGCCAGCTGAGGATTATTAGCCAGAAGGGAGTGATGTAGGGAATGAGAGGAGAGCCTCTCGCCGGCTATACTAACTGATTTCTCTTAGAGATCTAATTTCCCACTACTTTCTGTGCCAGAGGACCTTCCGAGCTGAGTCCCCCCACTTATTGCCACATTTAATAGTACAAACTTACACACACACACACACACACACACACACACACACACACACACACACACACACACACACACACACACACAGCCACGTGACTGCAGTGCATGAGCGGTGCTTTCACATTTATTAGAAACTTCTAAATTAAATTAGAAGTTCTGTCGACTTCTAAATTAAATTAAAAGTCACACCTACCTACGAATTAAATTAGAAGTTACATCAGATTTGAATATTAGAGAGATTTAGCATAGCTTAAGGACATTTAAGGATAAAAACATTATCCTTGCCGCCTGACCAGGACACCTCTCCCTGCAGAGACGGAACAGGATTCTGCAAATTGCCTGGCTTATTTTTAACAGACTGCAATCTTTTTAAACAAGGGGACAGAAAAAATTAAGACCTTTCAAATATCAGGTCCACACGACTGGTGTAGTCTGTCTTAAAAGCTTTGTTTCCCGTCACGGCTGAATGGTCATCCAGTGGTGTTTCAGCAGTAAGAACTTTCAATAACTTCAAAAGTATGACTAGTGATAAAACTGGGAGAGATGTTTCTAGTGGCTGCAGCTCATTCAGATACAGGTGACTGTGTGGATGTAACGGGTCTGGACACAAAGGTGTGAACACCTGGAATCTACTGCAGGGCCCATTTGATCAACTCATTAGACTCAAAGTGGGAAAGTCTGAGGAGCTCAGCACAGACGTGAAAATGCAAATCATTGACTTACACAAGTTAGAAATATCACTCTGAGCCATTTCAGAGCTGCTACAGATCCTGAAATCAACTTTACAAACGATTGTTTGTAAGTATGAAGTGCAACGTACGGTTTTGTTTACGGCCACCATGAGGAGGAAAACAGCAGCTGACAGACACTAGGTCAGGATGGTCAAGAAACAACCAAGAATTTAAAAAAAAGAAGCAGGTTGGCAGTTATTAAGAGCCACAGGGTTTTATATCACCATGAGCTGAGAGGCTGCCATGCAAGAAGGAAGCCGTTCATCTAGAAGCAGCACCTTAAGGCTCCACTGAAGACTGCTGCTGATCACATGGACAGAGGAACGGTGTTCTGGAGGAGAGTTCTCTGCTCACATGAAACTAAAACTGACCTATTTGGCCACAATGCCTAGAAATATATTTGGAAGAAAGAAGGTGAGGCTTTTAACCCCAAGAACAGCAAACCTGCCATCAACACCATCAACAGGCCACAGAAGGTCTTTGCTGGTCGGCTGCTGGCCGAGTGCTGGACTGAAGCATTTTAATGGACATTTGACTGGAAGGGAAAAGTTTGCTAAGAAAAGATGCACAAGCAACAGGGATGATCACAGTCTTGAGAGGATTGTTAAGAAAAGTTGATGTAAGAACTTGGGAGAGCTTCATAAAGAGCGGACTGAGGCTGGTGTCAGTGTCTGAAGAGCCACCGAGCTCAGACGCCTTCAGGAAAGAAGACGCATTTCTAGTATCAGTCCAGTCCTGAACCAAAGACAACGTCTGAAGCAAAAGGAGTTCAGGAGAAAAGGAACTGGACTGTTGCTCAGACATCCAAAGTCCTCTTTTTAGATAAAAGTACATTTTGCATTTCATTTGGAATTCAAGTTCCTCGTCTGGAGTAGGAGTGGAGAGAGCTGGAAGAGGAGAAGCCAGCTGAGGCCGTCTCATACTCTGGGCCATGTCCTGCTCGGAGACCTTGGGTCCTCCTGTCGCACCTACATTATGGCAGACCACGTCCAGCACTTCATGGCACCGGCATTCCCTGATGACAGTGGCCTCTGTCAGCAGGATAATGAGCCCTGCTACACTGTAAACTTGAGGAACATAACCCAGAGGTCATGTTGTTAATTTGGCCTCCAGACTCCCCAGATCTCCATCCCATCGAGCACCTGTGGCATGTCCTTAGAAATAAGCGTGCACGTGTCAGTCTGTTGCCATCTGAACAGTCCACATTTTAATAAATTCTATCAAACTAGTCCACTTATTCTGCAAAAAAATAAAATAAAATCACTCCACAGCGTTCTGGTTTGTTGTGTG